TGAGAGGGGAGAGGGTCAGAGGGAGAAGCAGACTCCCTGCTGAGCAGGGAGCCCGAGGTGGGGCTCGATCCTGGGACTCCAGGATCGTGACCTGAGCCGAAGGCAGTCGTTTAACCAACTGAGCCACCCAGGCGCCGCTGTCACCTATCTTTTGATTAGAATTTTTAGTCCATTTACATTCATTGTAATTACTGATAGATATGTATTTATTACCATTTTGTTACTTGTTTTGTGGTTGTTTTTGTAGTCCTTCTCTGATCCTTTCTTGTCTTTTTCTCTTTCATGGTTTTCTGGTTTTCTTTAGTGATATATTTGGATTTCTTTCTCTTTATTCTTTCATAGTAGCAGTTTTTGATTTGTGGTTACCATTAGGTTTGTGTATATCATCTTCTGCATATAGCAGTCTATATTAAGCTGATGATTGTTTAAGTTTAAACCCATCGTTTACCCCTCCTCATGTTTTAGGTATATGGTGCCATATTTATTTTTATTTCATTTTATTTTTTTAAAGATTTTATTTATTTGACAGAGACAGAGACAGTGAGAGCAGGAACACAAGCAGGGGGAGTGGAAGAGGGAGAAGCAGGCTTCCCGCTGAGCAGGGAGCCTGATGTGGGACTCGATCCCAGGACTCTGGGATCATGACCTGAGCCGAAGGCAGCCGCTTAATGACTGAGCCAACCAGGCGCCCATATGGTGCCATATTTAAATCCTTTTATTTTGTGAGTTCTTTGACTTTCTTTCTTTTCCACTCAAAGGGTCCTCTTTAATATTTCTTGCAGGGCTGATTTAGTGGTTATGATCTCTTTTAGTGTTTGTTTGTCTGGGAAACTATCTTTCCTTCTATTCTGAATGATAGCCTTGCTGGATAGAGTGTTCTTGGCTGCAAGCTTTTCTCATTCAGCCCTTTGAATATATCATGACACTCCTTTCTGACTTGTAAAGTTTCTGCTGAAAAATCTACTGATAGCCTAATGGGGTTTCCTTTGTAGGTAACTATCTTCTTTTGTCTTGCTACTTTTATTTATTTACTTATTTTTTGTCATTATATTTTGTCATTTTAATTACAATATGTCTTGGTGTGGCTCTGCTTTTGTTGATTTTGATGGGAGTTTTCTGTGCCTCCTGGATGTGGGTATGTGTTTCCTTCCCCAGATTAGGGAAGTTTTCAGCTATTGTTTCTTCAGATAAATTCTCTGCCTACTTGTCTCTCTCTTCTTCTGGAACTCCTATAATATGAATGTTATTAAGTGTATATTATGTTATGGAGACACTGAGCTCCCTAAGTCTCTTTTCATGTTGCATAATTCTTTTTTCTCTCTTTTGGTCAGCTTGATTACTTTCCATTACTCTGTCTTCTAGGTCATTAACTCATTCCTTTGCATTTTCCAGTCTGCTGTTCATTCCCTCAAGAGTGTTTCTCATTTCACTTATTGAGCCCTTTATCTCTGCTATGTTATTCCTTATCTCTCTGTTAATAGTCTGACTGATGTCCTCCACTCTTTTCTCAAGTCAATGAGTATCCTTATGATCATTGCTTTACATTCTCCATCAGCCATGTTACTTATATCTGTTTCACTTAGCTCTTTGGCTGTGGCCTTGTCCTTTTCTTTTCTTTGGGACAAATTCCTCTGTCTTCTCATTTTGTCTAAGTCTCTGTGCCTGTTTCTGTGTTTTAGGAAAGTCAGCTACATATCCTGTTATTGAAGGTAATGGATTTATGAAGAAGAGGTCCTGTAGTGCCCTACAGTATAGTGTCCCCTATTCTCCAGGCCCTGAGTGTCTCCAATGTGTGCCATGTGCACTTTGCTATTGTGCTGCTTGATCCTTTAGGCCAGTCATCTGCAGAGACCCTCTTTGCCTGCTGGGGGCAGTGTTTTGTCCCTGGTCTGAATGTGGTATGTTTTAACTAGGTGTGCTCTGGTCTGCTTGTGAAATGAGACCTGTTGTCACCACTGCCAGAACTGAGACTCTGCAAATCTCCCCTGTTGGGAGACATGATGTGAGCAGGGGTTTGGGCCGACTTCTGAGGGGGAGGTCTGGTGCGCTGGGACTGAGGTAAGCATGACTGGGAGGGGCAGTTCCACCAGAGCACAGAGGGCAGGGCTTGGTGTAAGCAAGTTAGGTATTGAGTGTTGGTACTGCACTTGTTCCCATAGGTGGCCCTGTGCTTATGTTGAGGGACAGCTGAGGGAAATGACACTGGCCAGTTCCTTTGTTCCCAGAAGGGTCACTCTATGAATGCTGCCTCTCTGGGACATGCCTCAAGAAGAGCAAATAACCTCTCCACTATGTGCCCCAGGCACTCCTCAGATTGCTGTTTTCATGCTGTATGTCTGCAGGCTGTTTACCTTGTCTTCTCTCCAAGAGCAGCCCCAATGCCTCCAGGCTCTCCCAGAGTCAAGCCCACTGACCTTTAGAACTCCAGGCTTTAAGCCCCACTGGTTGAAAGAACTCACAAAATTCAGCCTCTCTTGCTTTCTAGGCCAATTGCTAAGGGGAGTCATCTTTCCCATGCACTCCTCTGTGTGCTAGTCTGTTTCTCATCCCTCTCTGCAACCATGGCTCCCTCTCCACAGCAGCCGCCAGGATCTACTTCTCTCCCAAATCACGTTTCCACACTTCCTACCTTCTTTGGTGTGGCTTCTTTTCTACCTTTAGTTGTAGAGTTTGTTCTGCCAGTCTTCAGGTCAATTCCTGGGATAGTTAGGATTATTTAATGATTATCTAGTTGTATTCATGGGATAAGGTGAACCTAGGGTCCTTCTATTCTGCTGCCATCTTCCTCTCCCTTATTATGCATTGATTTTAAAAAGTCAGGCATGAGAGACAGCTCCTTGAAATATGCCATATATGAATTGAAGTATTTAATAAGACTTAATTCCATCCCTAGTTTTTACTGCTCTGCTATGATAGTATTTTCATGTAATAGAATAATTGTTGAAGACATTTTAATATTTTGCAAATTTCGGCTGCAATAAAATATGACTCATCATTATTAATGTAATTTTAAATAAGAAAAAAACTGCTTCTGGGAAAACTATCCTGATTGTAAGATGCATACTAATTTGAAAGGTGCTAAAATATAGATAAAATATGCATCAATGACTTGTTATTACTAATTCTAAAGGATACAGTTTTACAATAAGTGACTCATAAATATAAAAAAATATTTAAACCACATAAAAGGAAAGGGGGGCACATAAAAAAGCAGGGAATACTTGAATTTAGCTTTGAGTTTCCTGGAAGGCTAGACAAAAAAATATTTTATATTTTATGTTTTTATATTTTATATAAGTGTATATAATACTATTTATTGAATGATTAAAAGGATATCCTCCTCAGAACATACATTTTTTCTGGAACTGAGTTATAAAAGGAATGCTGATTTGGAACATCTGTAAAGAGCTGTAGACAATGTAAAGGCCATTGTCTTCAACCACAACAGTTTTAAAGAATATATAAAATGCTTTCATTTGACAGTTTCTTCAACCTTCGAAAGCAGAAAGCATGATTGAAGATTTAGCCAATATCTTCAGAAATTTTAAAGTAAAATTTATTTAAATTGCTTAGCCAACATTTCACACTAAAGAACATCTTTAATAGGAATGCTACACCAAGTATGACAAACATAGCAATGAGATTTGCTGAGCTTCATTTTACCCTGAAAAGCCACAATTATTTGAAATTTAATTGGTACTGAAAATCATTTTCATGGATGGCAGAAGAAAAGCACAAGTTGTAGCTGTTTTTAGATTGAGCTATTTAAGATCAACAGTGTTATAATTATAATAAAAGCTGTTACATGACCAAAGCTAATTCAGATTATGCCTTAAGTCCATGAGTTGTATTTCATGTTTTACATTTCTTTCCTTTTTTAAAAAGGTACTATAGAAATTTTCAAAACATATGCAAAAAGTAGACACAATATTATAGTGAACACTTTTTTTTATCTATTACCCAGCTTGAACAATGATCAATTTATGGCCCTTTTTGTTTCTTTCATGCCCTTACCCCTGATTCTTTTGAGGGAATCCCAGATAGTATAATCTTTAATCTTTAAAGATCTTTCTCTAAGATAAGGATTCTCTTTTTAAATATAACCACATTAGGATTGTCATACCTAAAAAATTATTAATTCCTTAATATCATAGCCACTTAGGGTGTACATTGCTTCAGTTGTCTTATTAATTTTGTTTATAAATGGATTGTTTGCTGAATCAAGATCAAAATGAGGTTTATATTCAGAGAAGAGACAAGAATGGCTCCTTTTCTATCTCTGAACATTCACGTCCTCAACAATATGGACTGAGTGCCTACAGTGGCAGGCGCCATGCTGGCTGCTGGGGAAACAAAGATGAATGCAACAAAATTCTGCAGTCAAAGAATGCATCATCCGCTGCATGGGAGGGAGTAACCCCATGCTTTTATTTGTAGGGAATGCTCAACAGCCCTCATTCCCGGGAAGTCCTTTTATATTGAATCTAAATTCCTCATTTGTAGCCTATTTCCATTCTTTTTGTTTTTAGTGGACAAGGAATAGTATCACTGCAGACTGTTATGACCATATCTATTTTTGGTTTTGGGGGGGTGAGGTTTCTTTGTTTTTACTTTGTTGCTATTTTTTGCTTTTGTTTTTACTTTTCTGCCTTTCTGTAATCTCTTCTGCTCTCTTCCCACTTGTCTGCTGAGTATGTATGCTGTGTAACCGTGTGACTATAAGACACTGAACCACACAGTTATGTGGAAGATGTAAGATGTGTGTCTGCCCAGGGGGATTAACACAAAATGGCTGATTTGACCAACAATCCTTGAACTTGTCAGTATTTCCTTAGAAACAGTGGGGTTTGAGTTAGAATTCAGAAGAGATGCTTTGTAGTGTGCAGAGTATAAATAATATCATCTTAATGTTTTTAAAATATCTTCACATCAATTATTTCTTTATCCTCTCTATAATCCTATGAGTTATAAGGACAAGTATGATTATCTTTATTTGGCAGGTGGGAAAAATGCAGCACTAAGAAATTATGCTGTATAAAGAGTACATACAAAGATAGAATGAGGCCAAGAAACACATCGACAACAAGACAATAATAGTAGGGGACTTTAACACCTCCCTCACTGAAATGGACAGATCATCTAAGCAAAAAATCAACAAGGAAATAAAGACTTTGAATGACACACTGGACCAGATGGACTTCACAGATATATTCAGAATATTCCATCCCAAAGCAATAGAATACACATTCTTCTCTAGTGCCCATGGAACATTCTGCAGAATAGATCACATCCTAGGTCAGAAATCAGATCTCAACTGATACCAAAAGATTGGGATCATTCCCTGCCTATTTTCGGACCACAGTGCTTTGAAACTAGAACTCAATCACAAGAGGAAAGTCGGAAAGAACTCAAATACATGGAGGCTAAAAAGCATCCTACTAAAGAATGAATGGGTCAACCAGGAAATTAGAGAAGAATTAAAAAAATTCATGGAAGCAAATGAAAATGAAAACACAACTGTTCAAAATCTTTGGCATGCAGCAAAGGCAGTCCTAAGAGGAAAGTATACAGCAATACAAGCCTTTCTCGAGAAACAATAAAGGTCTCAAATACACAACCTAACCCTACACCTAAAGGAGCTGGAGAAAAAAATGACGACTTTGGAATGTATTGTCACCCACTAAGCATTTATTGTGTTACTACAATGGACACCGTGGTTGTCTGTGTGACATTCTTATCACCTTCCCCCATGCATAACACCTGTCTACTGTGTCTCCTCAGTTTTACACACCAGTGCATGGCATTCACCTGTCCACAGTGTCTAGTTCAAGGGTGTCCAGAGCTGGGACTCTTGTTCATTGTGAGATGTCACGTTCTCTCTTCCCTGGATGTTAAGGAGAAAGTGTGTTGTCCTGGCAGCTGCTGACAGGCATCTTACAATGGTGGGGAGATGACAGCCTGAGGGACGGCAACATATGGAGTAAGGCAGAGTCCGTAGAGCTGCGGAGAGGTCTAGCTGGATCTTACGTGCGTAATGCCTGAGGCTTACATTTCCTATGGACTTTTAGGTACAGGTGCCAGTGAATTCCCATTATTATTTAAGGCAGTTTGAGTTCAGTTTTCTTTATTTTCTGCATAACATCTTCTGATATGGAACTTTTAAATTCATTTACTTCTCTCAAATTTGGGGTTACTGATTTCACATTCAAATATGAGCACCTGCAGGGTACTGGCACAGCACTGGGTACTTTCCCTTTTGCCCTCATGACAACCTTATGAGATAATACTGTTACTGAATTTCCACTTTTCAGATGCAGATACTCAGGTTCTGAGAGATTGTGACTTCTCTAAAGACACAAAACCTGTAAACAGCAGTAGGGTCTGCATTTGAGCCTATTGAAAATACCATATTATATCTATTTATTACAGGAAAGAAATTAGAGATAAAAAATTCAACTTTTAGACAGTTAGCAAGTAGTCACTCATATTTGTGAAATACTTTCTATATCTCCAAAGCGTATCTGAACCCATGTTACCACCATGTTGATGAGTATCAGCTGTAGGTGCTGACTGATACAGAGGCCAGACACAGAGAATACCTAGGAAATGAGTCAAGGTGTACTTATCTAACCAATGCTGGTAGAAGAAGGTGCTACTCAGTAAAAACAATGTTCTCCAATGACAGACACAGTGTGTAAGCCTCTGGGTCTTCCGGAAATGGCTTCAGTATCATGGTATAGGATTAAGTCTGAATGAGTGAGGAGCACATTGGGACTTGTAGGAACTGTCACGTAGGAGTAGGCAGAACCCTCCCCCACCCCAAGCCCAGCTGGATCTTTATGATCAGAAATCTTGGTATTATACAAAATGACCATAGAGACTGGTATAAAATAAGCATCAGCATACCATCTTTATTTTTTGTTTCCATTTTTAAAAATGTGAAACATTCTGCAAATTTGCATGTCATCCTTGCACAGGGGCCATGCTAATCTCTGAGTTACTCCATTTTCAGTAGATGTGCTGCTGAAGCAAGCACCACATCTTCTTTTAACGTATCTATTCTCCCTAGGCTAGCACAGTCTGGGCTAGGACCTTTCTGGTCTTAGAGCTGCAGAATTAGAGCAAGGGTCAGTTACCCTGATGTCTCTGAGAACCTTATAAGCCCTTAGGCTAGCTATAAATCTGTCAGAGTGATGATTATAATTTTACAGATGAGAAAGTTAAGTAAGTGTGTGGGGGGGGTTAAAATTATTTGGCCTCCAAGTGCATTAGGCGGTAACCGAACTGAGTGAAAACTAAGGTATTTTGACCGGCTCTTCAATTCTTGTTTAACTAGAATGCATTAGCTTTTCATCCATGGGAGGTTACCTCAGCCAATTTTGTTGTAAATGAAGCCCAGAATAGAAATTAGGAACATCATTGGAGGGCCAGGCTGTGCCTTTAAGTATAAAACCCAAAAAGAGTAAGCCTGGATGTGTTTGTAGTAATTCATGTTGAAGAGTTGGTAACGAGACTAGACGCGTAGTTTAATCAGACTGCCTGGTGGTCACCCAGAACAGACACGCTGTGACGCCTGTTGACACTAATATGGAAAATGGTTGCTTAGTCAAGGGAGGGACTGTCAGTCCCAGGACAAAGCTGATTTCCCAGCATGGTGAGGGGCTCCAGGGCCATGAGGTTTCCAAGGCTTTCCCCTGTGTATTTTGATTAGTGCATTTTTGATAAAGTGGGTAATAGTCTCTTTTCTCAGGGCTAATAACCCCTTTTGGTGCACCGTAGCGGCCTAAAGAAGTCTCCTACCACCATAGATTCCAAATGCTCTTGGCTAACTTAAAGGTACTGGATAGACTAGAGTTGGGGGCATCTTAGATAATGGATAACTTCAGACAATTCCCATGTCTCACTTTCTCATTCACTCAGAAATATTTATTGACTGCATTCTGTGTGTTGGGTACTGTGCTGGTTTCTGGGTAGAGAGTAAAGAGCAAACAGATGTGATCGCTGCCCTGCTGAAGCTTGTAGATGTGTAATTACAAAACATGATGGATGAAATGGAAAAGATTTGAGTGCTATGAAGGCGTATGCCAGGGGATCACATTTTGGATTGGGGTACCACCTTCTGAGGAAGTGATTCTTTATGCTGAGAACTGAAAGATGAGAAAGCACCAGCAAGGTAGAGTGGGAACAAGAGTTTCCTAAGCAAAAGAAAAGGCAGGTTAGTCGTTGTGGTGGAGGAAAGAACTGGTCCTGTTTTAGTAACTGAAGCTGGAGTTTGTGAGCCAGGAGGGAGGGCAATAAGCAGGGGGTGGTGGGTAGGTGCAGGCCCATGCACTGGGGTCATTTGAGCTTTGGAATCTTGAGATATCTGGATTCAAATCTTGGCTTCTACTTTTATTTATGATCTTGGACAAGTCACTTAATTTCTTTGTGAGTCAGTTTCCACTGCATTGAAATTATCTCCCGGGCGAACTAATGCAGAGTAAGTGAATCTAAATGTCTGGTCCGTAGCCCTGCCTGTTCCTTCTCTCCACCATCTGCTTCCTTTTCTCTTCCTGCATTTTTACTCAGAGCTATTGATGTAGTTGGTTAGTTATTTAACACTGGTTTTCTTGGCCCTTTCCCATTATCTTGCAACCTGAATAATCAAAAACTGAATGATCTAAAATTAATTATTATTTAAGGAATTTCAGTTACATTATTGACATTACCTTTATTAATTATAACAGGTGCATTTAGAATCAATTGTCAAAGTCTTCCCTTGCTCTTGAGTCTACCCATGAGAGATACTCAGGTCCATGTTGGCTTAACGTTTTATTTACAAAATAGCTGTGATTTTCTTTTTAACTTGGAAAAGATTGTTTTGATGCATAATATGAAACCTGACTGTGTGACTTAGCAAATCAAAAGTATTTATTCATGTTGAAAAGGCAGCTTTTTGTTTCAGTGCAATGAATGCAACACAGTATGTTTTGGATTATTAGCTCTGTTGGTTGAGCATGGTTATATGAGAACACTTGGGCCAATATTCCCAAATATAAAGAGTGCCCCAGATTCTCAAACATTAGGAAGATGTCACAGAATAGTCTCATTCTTCCAAGTAAATGAACTAGATCAAAGAGTTCTTCTGTATCTTTCTCTCCCCACCCTTATTATAATAAGGCATATTGTGAAGGGATTTCTCAAAGTGGGAGCTAGCACTAATATCTTTCAAAAATGCTTCTACAGGGAGTTTATGCTTCACGCCATCTTAGTGGCTGCCCCTGGGACCTAGAACTACACCTTTGGCTTCCATGGGCCATAGTGTAAAATAGAACACAATTATGTTCCCTACCAACCTCACAGGATTGTCCAGAGCGTTAAACTAGATGCAGTGTTTAAAACAGTTGAGAATGGGGAGCATTCATTCAACAAATGCTGCCTGAATGGAAAAAACCAGAAGTGTTCTTTCCCAGTCTGGCCCAGGTGTATTATTTGATAATTGTAACAACCCTGCAAGGTGGTCAGGACCGTAACTCTCAAGGGCTGGGGGAAGAGTAGGTGCTATATGATGAAGATTTTTTAAATTCACTTGTTATGTTTCTCTAAATATTAAATCCCACAACTACTCTATAACTCATTTTTTTGTTCATTGACCTGTGCTGCCAGTAGGTTCTTTTCCCTATAGAACCCTCCAAATCTTTCATTGTTTATCCTTGCCTTCTTGCCTTTTTTTTTTTTTTAAAGATTTTATTTATCTGACAGAGAGAGACAGCGAGAGAGGGAGCATAAGCAGGGGGAGTGGGAGAGGGAGAAGCAGGCTCCCAGCCGAGCAGGGAATCGATCCCAGGACGCGGGGATCACGACCCAAGCCAAAGGCAGACGCCCAACGACTGAGCCACCCAGGCGCCCCAGCCTTCTTGCTTTTTGAATGAATTGTAAAATGGCTCTCAAAGACTTAAAACAGCCATCCCCTTTTTAGCCTTCTCTTTTAAGAAGTCACAGTTATCCCGTATCTTGTATATAGTTTTCTTTTCTATTCTTTTATGGTTCTAAGTTTTATAGTTTCCTGCCAAGTCTGCTGAACTTTTCCTCCTAGGTCTTTCTTTCTTTCTTTCTTTCTTTTTTTTTAAAGATTTTATTTATTCATTTGACAGAGATAGATACAGCGAGAGAGGGAACACGAGCAGGGGGAGTGGGAGAGGGAGAAGCAGGCTCCCTGCAGAGCGAGGAGCCAGATGCGGGGGCTTGATCCACCAGGACCCTGGGATCATGACCTGAGCCGAAGGCAGACGCTTAACGACTGAGCCACCCAGGTGCCCCTCTTTTTTTCTTTCTTGTTGTCTTTGTAGCTCCCTCTCTTTTTTCTATAAAGGAGTCTTTCCTTCCCAGAAAGTTACACTGATGTCCCTTTTAACCGGGGGGATTGTAATCTGTTACTTTTCCAGCCTAGTGGGCGCTTTGGGGGAGGGCCTCATGTTGTC